CATTGCTCAGTCTTATAGGCCATGGTTTGGATTTTGTTTGAGGTGCATTGGGATGTTGAATGTGGGCACAAAGTTGGAAGAGCAGAGACCACACAAAAGGACTGCTGTTGTCCAAATGAGATGTGATGGTGACCTGGACTAGCAGAAAGGTGTCAGTGGAATTATAAGAATTAAACAGACTGGAGATATAATTGTCAGACAGTAATGATTAGATTTTCATTTGAGGTAAGAGAAAGGAGAACATCAAGGATGATGCCTGGTGGTTTTTGTTATTTGGTTTTGTTTGTTTTGCTTGAGTAAGTGGGAAGTTTAGGGATATATTTGTTATTAAGAAGAGATTACCATTTTTGAGGGGCAGCTCAAGCATTTTGTTTTGAACTGCTTAAGTTTGATAGGACAATAAAACATTCAAGTAGGAGATCTGGGTGAACAGTTTAATATACTTATCTCATGGTACTGTGTGTTGTATATCTGTGTCTCTGATTCAAATTATTTGGAGAGCTGGGCCTAATTTATCCTTTTCTCCTATTCTGTCTTTTACGTGAGCACCGATAAATATTTACAGGATGCATAGATAGGAACCTGAACCTCCACTGGAGATCCACTATGCTTAGTACTCTGCTGGACGGGGTGGGGGTAATACCGTGGGGGAGAATGGGTTTTAAGCCCTTTAAGCCTCATGTTTTGTGTGTGTGTGTGTGTGTGTGTTTTAATATATTTTATTGATTTTTTTACAGAGAGAAAGGGAGAAAGGGAGAGAGAGTTAGAAACATCAATGAGAGAGAAACATCGATCAGCTGCCTCCTGCACACTCCCCACTGGGTATGTGCCCGCAACCAAGGTACATGCCCTTGACCGGAATCGAACCTGGGACCCTTGAGTCCACAGGCCAACGCTCTATCCACTGAGCCAAACCGGTTAGGGAAAGCCTCATGTTTTTTAGAAGTGGTTTGCCATGGTGCTGATAGAAATAACCTGTCCAACTTGGGGGTATATTAGAATCAACTGGTCCCTGGCTCAGTGGTTAAAGTGTCGGACTGAGGACTGAAGGGTCATTGGTTCAGTTCTGGTCAAGGGGCACATACAGGCATGTACCTCGGTTGCAGGCTCCATCCCTGGCCATGGTCGGGCCCGTGCAGGAGGCAACCAATTTATGTGGTCTCTCTCACATTGATGTTTCTATCTCTCTGTCTCTCCCCCTCCCTTCCACTCTCTAAAAAATCAATGGAAAAATATTCTCAGGTGAGGATTATTAAAAAAAATAAAAATTAGAATCAGGTGGGTTGCTGATGTTAAAATGTAGATTGGTAGAAACAAGGAAATCTGTATTTTTATCAAATTCCCCTGGTGATTCTAATGAATGCTAAAATTGAGAAACACTGAGCTTGTTTTGCCCAGAACCTATGTTGGCATTTCTTTGGTGGCTCAATGGGTTCCAACTCCTTACATGCTCTATGTTCTTAACCTCTTTCAGTTCTCTTCTGAAAACATAGATTCCTGCTTTTGTGTGCGTTTTTTCCCCCACTAACCAGTGGTATCAGAAACTTGAGGCCACATCTTTTCTTTGCTACTTTAGGAGGAAATTGGGCTTTGTATTTGAAGGGTTGTTTTGTTTTGTTTTTTGGTCCTAGTTCATGGGTGTTTTTGTTTGTTTTGTTTTGTTTTTTTACTTGTTCTGTTTTGCAGTCCCATGAACGTGTAAGCAAGAGGCTGCATCAGAGGTTCCAGGCCTGGGTAGATAAGTGGACCAAGGAGCATGTGCCCCGTGAAATGGCAGCGGAGACCAGCAAGTGGCTCATGGGTGAGGGGCTGGAGGGCCTGGTACCCTGTACCACCACCTGTGACACAGAGACTCTGCATTTTGTGAACATTAACAAGTACCGTGTCAAATACGGCACAGTGTTCAAAACCCCATAGCTGCGAAGTCAGAGCAGATAACTTGAAGGAGGTGTGTGTGTGAGGGGGGTGCGGTTCATGTGCCCTCACACACACTGAAGAAATGAGGAAGATGCCTTTCAAGCCTCACTGGGCCTCTCTGGGACATGGCCACCTGATCTGTCTGTGCTCTGGAACTTTCCCCAAGGGTTTAGGATCCTGGAGGGGAAGGAAATCCACTCAAGCATAAACACACAGCTTGCTTGCACACACCAGCAGAGCTAAGACTGGAGTCTCCTGGGGCCTGACCTTCGAAGAAGGAACCAGGTGCTATTCAAACCTTGGCTGGATGGGTGAACGTTGACAAACTAACTGAGGAAGGACTCAACACTCAGATGGTTTGTAACTCTGATGGTCAATGCTCCTCTTCTCTCCCCGCCACCCCCCAAAAGGGGGACAAAACTGGATTTGATTTTTTTTTTTTTTTCCTGATCACTCAAGCACATTTAGAGCATCCATTAGGTTTTATGTGGGACCCACATTTGGCTTTGGGATTGATCATCTTGTGGATTTGATTCCTGCCGAATCCCTTGTTGCCTCCCTTTTACTTTCTCCTCTGGTTATCAACCTCAACAAGTTCAAATCAGTTATTTTTAGCTCCTGAGGAACTGTTTTGTACCTGCTTCTTTACCAGTCTTCCCCAGTGCCATCCACCAGCTTTACTCTTTCTCTCAAACACACCAATTTTAACGGGGGTTTTCTTTTTTCTTTTTTGTAAATAATGTACATACTGTCAATTTTTTATTAAAAGAAATATGCTTTGATGTGCTAGCATAACTGCTCTAGCTTCTTGTGTACCATAGTTCTATGTGACTTCAGATTTAGTACCTATGAACAGGTGTGCAAGACATTTATTACACTTTTTACCAAAGGGAGTTACGGTTGTAGTACTTTTGTGTAAAACTTGTCTTCCCCTTGCCCCAAAACTTTTTTTTAAAAAAAAAATAAAGTTTGGTTCTCAAGGAATAAACTTGCAACCCAAGTCCCTTGTCCTCACCAGAGAACATTATGAATCAGGGATTTAGGCTCAGTTCCTTATCCAGGGTACCAACAGGCTTTTGCTCTAGTTAGCAGTCAAGTTCACTTATCTCAAGTCAAAATATTCCCAAGTTTTGAAGCAGAATACTTTATTCTTTCAGTACATGTTTTTTCCCCTCCCTTATTTCAACTGTTTAGACATGTGTGGTATTTGAGTAAGTTGTCTAGCTATATAATTTGTAATTCTCTATATTTTTTCTTATCCTTAGTAGAAACGGGAGTGAACAACTTAAATACCAAATCAGTATTTGAAAGAAGTGTGTATAAGGAGTGTGCTATAAGTGGGGTTGGGAGGGAGATTTGGTACATTTCATTACTAACTGCAAATGGAATATATTACATAAATTTAAACTGGCAGACATTTAATCCTGGGTGATAAGGATTTTTATGTAGTCAGCCTGGACTTCTGGTGGATTTTCCTCCAGCAACCATTTACCCTAATCATAGTTGCAAAGTAACCAACAGTGTTTTGTTTGCTTTTTTATTAAAAATCCACACACTCCCACCCACAACACACACTTCCAAACCCCAAAAACTTTTGGCTTCTGGACTTTCAAAATATATGGTAGACTTCTCTGATTTTTTTGTTTGTTTGTTTGTGTGTGGGGAGTGGTGAGTGGGGGGAGACAACACAAGAGGTGGAACCCAGAAATGTATGGTAGTAAAAGAGCCTTGCAGGAGGAGATTCTAGGATGAAGCTGAGGCAGTGTCTGACTTGGAGATGGAATGATAAGTACTGGTTGGGGATGGGAAATCTTCAGGTTTTCCCAGAAATTAGCTCACCTATCCCCCTCTGCTCACTCAAGAAAGATCATGTTGACTTGGAATTATGGGGGAAATAGATGGGGCCCAGCTCTTGCTGTCCCTGCACAGGGTTATGTCCAGAGCACCTGCTTGCAGGTTGGGAATAGGGTTTCAGAGCCACTTTCAGGAGAAAACCTTCAACCTACCAGTGTAACGAAAAAGAAGGGGGAGTTTCACTACATGGTTTTCACAAACAGCATTTTTGTCTCTCCTGTCTTCTGACACCTGAGCTACAAGCTCTAAACCCAGCCTGTATTATAGCTGGCAAGTTATCTTTATTTTAAACTTGAGGCCCGGTGCACAAGATTGGTGCATGGGGGTGGGGTGCCTCAGCCCGGCCTGCGCCCTCTCACAGTCCAGGAGCCCTTGGGGGATGTCCGCCTACTGGCTTAGGCCTGATCTTCCCCCATCCCCGCCCTCCCCACCTCCGGGGATCAGGCCTAAGCTGGCAGTCAGACATCGCTCTTACAGTCTGGGGCTCTCGCAGTCTGGGTCCCCTCGATCCTTATTGCCTGCCTGCAGCATAGGTGGGAGAGGCTCCCACCACCACCTCTGTGCTCGCCAGCCAGAAGCCAGCCTGCTGCTCCTTAGCGCTGCCTTGGAGGCGGGAGAGGCTACCGCCACCGCCACTGCACTCGCTAGCCGTGAGCCCTGCTGAGCAGTGCTCGCCATCCACTGGTGTGGCATAATGGGGAACAAGTTCTGGTCTCTGGCCTTTTATTATATAGGATTATGCTTGGTATTATGTACTCAGTCATACACTTCTGTGTAGTTTGCATTTGAAATGTTGTAAACTTGGTCAGTATTTCCATTAAAATATCAGGGCTAATGCTGTGTATATATTTTTCTTAATATTATAGACAAGAACTCCCTGGCCATCTTAGGAGAGGGGGAAAAAAAAGCTATCAATGGACTACTAGGGTAATGTGAAAATGAAATTAGGTGTCTGGCATTATGGCTTCTCTTAACTCTTCAGTCCTGTTTAGTGAAATACAGTATTCTATTAGGATCTTGAATGCTATGACTAACATGCTGTCTCAAATCAGAACTTTTCCAGAGTTTCTGGTGATAACCAACAGCCATGTACATAAAATAAGGTAGTAGAGGAAGCTGAGGTTACAGGGATGCAAAGCCCTCAACACCATGTCCATTCATGGCGGCTCTAGGGAGCCAGAGGCCAGGCTGTCACTGGAGGGCCAGAGGGTTCCCACCTGTTGGTGCTGATGCCGAGTGGTCTGTTGCATCTAATGGTCCCCCTATCTCTGTCCCAGAGCTTTCCGAGAAGCTAAGCGTCAGACTTACCATTTTATTTAGGTATTTGCCAAGTGGCCTGGCCCATCAGTCCAGAAGTGATAGAGGAGAGCCTCAAGAAGCACTTCTTTCAGTGCCCCTCTCAAAGTTCAGAGCAGCTGGGCTTCCCAGAGAGCCTGGCTGTTGTAAGAAAGCAGCCTGCAGCCGTCCACACACCAGAACCTTTAGTTCCGCCACACAGGAGCACCGGGATTTTCCAAGAACAGTGGGCGGGCGGCAGTGGTGGTGGCGGTGCCAACCCTGAAGCACTGGCGCACTACGCTGGAGCAGGCAGAGAAATTCGTGTCACCACTCTACCCACGACTATAACCTCTGTGACCCCTCAGGGCACCAGCTGGCCTGGTTCACCGGCCTCAGCCTTTCTTTCTGTGGTTAAACCCAAGCTACAGCCACCTGGACTGAGGGATAAAGTGCCTGCCCTCTATGGACAGGGCATGGCCGGGAGGAGGGAGCGGGGAGGCTGTGCTGTGGAACAGCCATCTCCAACGTGGGTCAAAGGACTCTGCGTTCCACCGCCAGGTGGAAAGCTGACTTTGAGCGCATGCCCACTGGCCCCTCCATGCCCAGGCTCTTCGGGGACAGCTGCCCGGTGGCCGCGCTCTCCAGTTGCCTGACACCTGAGAGGCTTCCCTACCAGGAGGCAATCCAGCAGGACTTCTGCCCTGCGCAGGTCGGTGACAGCTTTGGACCCACGTGGGTAATGCCCAGAGGCAGGGCCCTGCCAGTGGTCACCCCTCTGGGCTGGCTCACTCCTAAGGGCCACACCTCCATTGTCTGCCCCTGGTCCCTCAGATTTAATGAAAGAGTTCATTTTCCCCTTTCTCCCAGTCCCTGGACGCCCCTTAGGAAAGGCACTCAAGGACGGATCACAGACCTCTGGCTCTGCCTCTTTCCCTCACCTTACTCCCTTCTTGTCCATCAAATCTGATTACCTTGTAATGCATAGAGAAAGCCTCAAGCCCCTACTGACCCTTAATCCAAGAAAGTACTATTTCAAAAGGAAAAGGGCTCCCATCTAAGTGACTCTTGCAGATGGTGGACCTGCTGGTTCTGGGTGGAGCTGACCATCCTGGAGGCATGGGTGGGTCAGGAAGTTCACCTTCTCTGGGAAAGCGATGGAGAGGGCCTGGTGTGGCATGATGGGGAACTAGTTCAGGTAAGGAGCCTTGGCCTAGAGACAGCATAGCCACATTTCAGTTCTGGTCTCTGGAGAAATTAGAGCTGGCTGAGTGGCTCTGCCTGCAGAGTGGTAGAAAGATTTCAGGACTGGGGAGGTTGCTGTTTGGGCCCCTGTGCTTGGTTAGGTCCTTTCATATAGGGTAAATTAAATGGATGGTGTTTGGGTCACAACATAATTAGTGCTAAACCAACCTTGCCACTGACTGCCCACCTTTTTTTTTTTTTTTTATGTATTTTTATTGATTTCAGAGAAGAAGGGAGGATAGAGATAGAAATATCAATGATGAGAGAATCATTGATCAGTTGCCTCCTGGGAATCCAGCCCACAACCTGGACATGTGCTCTGACTGGTAATTGATGCTCAACCACTGAACCACACCAGCTGGGCTGCCCACCTCATGCTAAGCTGAATATGGTTATTAATCATAATAATAAGTATAGCAGTTCCATTTATTAACCCCTTGCTAGGTGCCAGACTAGTGGCTTTACAGACCACATCTCTTTAGTTCTTAATAAACAGTTTTTTATTATGTATAATACTAGAGGCCCGGTGCACAAAATTCGTGCACAGGGGGGGGGGGGGCAGGGTTTCCTCAGCCCAGCCTGCACCCTCTCCAATCGGGGACATCCCTCTCGAAATCTGGGACCGCTGGCTCCTAACCGCTCACCTGCCTGCCTGCCTGATCGCCCCAAACCACTCTGCCTGCCTTCCTGATTGCCCCTAACCCCTCTGCCTGCCTGCCTGCCTGCCTGATCACCACTAACCTCTCTGCCTGCCTGCCAGATCACCCCTGCCTCTGCCTGATTGACCCTAACCACCTCTGCCTGCCTAATCACCCCTAACTGCTCCTCTGCCGGCCTGATGGTCCCCAACTCCCCTCCCCTGCCGGCCTGGTCGCCCCCAATGGCCCTCCCCTGCCACCCAGTTTGCCCCCAACGACCCTCCGCTACCGGCCTGGTCGCCCCCAATGGCCATCCCCTGCTGGCCTGGTCACCCCAAATGCCCTCCCCTGCAGGTCTGGTCGCCCCCAACTTCCCTCCCCTGCTGGCCTGATATTGCCCCCAACTCCCCTCCCCTGCCGGCCTGATCTCACCCCCAACTGCCCTCCCCTGCCGGCCTGATCTCACCCCCAACTGCCCTCCCCTGCCGGCCTGATCTCACCCCCAACTGCCCTCCCCTGCGGACCTGGTCACCCCCAACTCCCCTCCCCTGCTAGCCTGATTGCCCCCAACTGCCCTCCCCTGCTGGCCTGACCCCCCTAACTGCCTCTGCCTCGGCCCCCACCACCATGGCTTTGTCCGGAAGGAAGTCAGACGTCCGGAAGATAGCCGGTTGACCCAGTCTAATTAGCATATTACCCTTTTATTAGTATAAATTATTAGTATAGATAGATTATATAGGATAGGATTGCTTAAATGGAGGGGAATGCTTTTTTCAGCAGGAGGAGATTCTCGGCAGACAAAAATACATAATCCCTATATCTGGACTGATAGCCAGCCATATGCACCGGTCATTAAAAAATTGAACCACTTTCTTACACCAAACAGCTGTTGCCCTTAAAACCCCTCCTTAGTCCCCACCTTAGGTTCTGCCTTCACAGTTCACCCAGATTAGGTTTTGATTGGTCGGTTTCTATGCCAGTCAGCGTCAAAAGCTCCGCCTCCTAGGCAGCCATTGGCTCCTTGCAGTTTACCCAGATTTGGTTCTGATTGGTTGGTTTCTATGCCAGTCAGCGTCTCTGAGCCTATCTCCGGGCCTCTCTCTGGGCCTGATCCACAGCCTCCGTGGCAGCTGCGGATCAGGCCTTGCCTCTCTTTCTGGGCCTGATCTGCAGCTGCCACGGCAGAGGCAAGGACGTTAGGCCTCCGGCCTGGCCCTGGGCCAAGGGCCTAACAACCTCGCCGTGCCCACCTGCTGGCCGCCAGCCTGACTGTGATAGCCTGTGGACTGAGGGGGAGGGACCAAGAGGTGCTCCATGCACTTCCTGGTGACCAGTCATCCGTCTGGTCGTTTAGGTTGTGACAGCCCCTGGCCTTTTATAATATAGATATATAATGGGGGGAAACTTTCAAACATCTCCCCACTACCCCATCCCAATTCCCCAGATATAACCACTATTAAACCACTATTAAGTGTCTTGCTTATGCATCTAACAGTATCTTTATCATCCTATGTGGTTGGTCTTTATAACTGCAGATTAAGAAGGTGAGATAAATAGAGGTTAGTTCACTTGTTCAGTTTGCACATCTTCCATTCCAAGTGGACTTTCAATCTCAGGTAGGACTCCTACCTGTATGGCAAAGCCCTCTCTCCCTCCCTCCATTGGCTCAGCACATGTCTCCTGAATGCCCTCTCTGGGCCAGGCCCTATGCTAAGCACTGGGGACATAGTAGGAAATGAGACAAGCCTGTCCCTGACTTTATAGAATTTCCCTTCTGATACTTATTCAGGGGTACAGAGGCCACTGGGAGCCATATCCAGATCTCTTGATGCCTGCCCAAGACCCATCTCATAAGACCAAGGGCTTTTCTGCTGGTGCTATTTGGTGGTCATGGTACTGGCTGCCATGGGAATGGGGCACTTGCAAGCAAGGGTCCTTGATTTATCAGTCTTGGCCTTGCCTTGGAAAAGAAGCCAAAGCTGGAGTCTGAGCAGAGGGTCTTGAATTCCCTTAGCTTATGTTTAACATGAACTGTCCAAAAACCTCAGGCTCTGTCTCTTTCACTGTACTCCCACCACGTTTGACCAAAGAAGGGGAGAAGAGCAGTTACATCCTGATTGAGAGGCTGGGAGGAGACCCTCGGAGGTGAGTGAATCCCTGCACTGGTTGACCAAGGCTGTGGGGGAGAGGACATCAGTAGGGGAGGACACATTAGTGGGAAGCCCAGAATGATCTTGGAAACACACCTACTCCCAACACAACCATCCTCAAATCTTCAGTGTTTGTTTTTTAAAAGCAGGATTTTTTTTCTTCTGGCTATAAAAATGTTTGCCACCTTGCGGTAAATACAGAAAAGTACAAAGAAGTAAATACCTCCCATTATCCCACCACCTAGAGATGACCATTATTTATATCTCAGTATTCATCTCAGGAATTCTTCCCGGTGTACTTTTTACTAGTTTAGGTTATATTTCCTTGATATTTGTATCTTGAATTTTTTCATTCCATATTATAACATGGACATTTATTACACCATTAAAAACTTTCTTAGACATTATGATTTTATGTTATAGTATTTACTGAATACTGTGTATCTGATTCTTCCAGACACTGGGACTATGACGGTGAGTAATATGGTCTTCTACAGCAAGAGGACTCATACATACTTATACAATTGCAAAACTGATGAGGGCTCTGAGAGAAAACCCTCGGAGCTCATGTGAGAACTCTGTTCCAGACTTAGGAGAGGGGTGGGAGGAGGAATAGGGAGGGCTTCCCCAAATAAGTCATCTGTGGTCTCTGAAGACTGAGTAGAACAGTGCCAGAACCCAATATGAGGCTACAAAGAACAGCCTGCTCTGTGTTGGCTGATGGGTCTTTGCTCTGGGAAATCCGAACATGTTTTATTTTTTTAAAAAAATATGTTTTTATTTATTTCAGAGAGAGGAAAGGAGATGGAGAGAGAAATAGAAACATCAATGATGAGAATCATCAATCGGCTGCCTCCCGCACACCCCCTACTCGTGGTCAGGCCCCAAACCTGGGCATGTGCCCTGACCGTAATCTACCTTGACCTCCTGGTTCATGGGTCAACACTCAACCACTGAGCCACACCAGCTGGGCCAAACATGTTTTTAATGTGCAAAGATGGTTCTGAGACCAAAGCAGTGCTGTGTAAAGACAGCTTTGGTAAAAAAAAAAAAAAAAAAAAAAAAAAAAAAGGCTAAACAGTAGCATCACACAGTTCCAGAATGAGTTGCTTGTTCTTGCTAACCATAATAGAGCTTTCATCACCATATGGGTTCAGGCTGGTGCTTCTCTGACCCTCTCGTATATGAACTTGATATACTCTGGGATCCTGGAGGTAAATGGGGAGGGGTCATCTGGATGCTGCCTCTGTCCTCCCTCCTCAAGCCCCCAGAGGTCTCTGCCAGTCCCTTGGCCTATGACTGCCTTCCCATGTTTGTAGCCTGACCCTCTATGTGGAAGTCGCCTTGGGACCCAGGAAGGGCACCATGATTGCAGACCCAGAGAAGATGTTCCAGGTGAGCCGGGCTGAGCTGGACTTGTTCCTCCGGGATATCCACAAGCTCCTGGTAGATCTGGAACTGCTGCTGGGCATGACCAAGGTACTCAACACCCCATCTCACCTGGTCACTCTCTAGAATTCCAGGTAGATTGTTTCTTGGGTCATACTTGGGACTCTGGGAATGCAGAATAGGGAGAGTGTTTCTGCCTGCCCAAGAGTTGGTCAGGTTTCTCTATGTAAAGGGGAAGAGGGAAACAGTTCTGAGCAGGGGGAACAGCAGGGGCAAAGAATTAGAGGTAGGAAAGAGCTCTGCTGAGAACCCTGCTGCAGGGCCTCGGGGAAGACAACCAGCGCAGCTTCCAGGCCCTGTACACAGCCAACCAGATTGTGAATGTTTGTGATCCTGCCCAGCCCGAAACCTTCCCGATGGCCCAGTATCTGGCCTCCAGGTCCTTTGGCCAATGTGGAGGTAAAAGCCAGCATACCATCCATGCCATGGGGCACTGCCACATTGATACAGGTAGGAGGTTAGCTGGTCAAGTTGGCTGAGAGGTAGGCAGGAGTGACCTTGAAGCCTTGGCATTGCCCTGGAAGCACTGTGTAAACCTCAGCAAGTTCTTGCCCCTCCTGGGCCTCGGTTGAAGTAATAGAGATGGGGGCTTAAGCGCAGGGGTGATTTTCTAGGTAGGGTCAGGGGTTCAATTCTGAACCTGATGAGTTTTCAGTGACTGTGAGGCTTATGGGAAATCCATATTTTTTAACAGGTTCCCCAAGGTGTTGATTCTGATGTTTTTGGACCACAGAACAAGGGCTTTCTCTGCTATGCCAAGGTGTGGGGAAGAGGGTGGACGCTCTGGACTGGTAAGGAAGGAGAGGCTGTAGTGCTTCATATAGGACAGCTGACAAGGCATGATCCATGATCCATCTTGAGGAGCTGTGCACTCTATTCTGGGATATCCATCAGTATGTGTTGGGGATCCTCTCTAAGGGTGTCTAAACCTCAAGGACAAGGCTATTCTAGGGCCGGGGGCCTCCATTTCCTGACCTGTAAAATTAACCTGATAGCTCTGGTTGCCTTTCTATCCCACTCCTACTGCCACCTAGTAGGACTGATTTGAAGTGGTAGCTCAAGAGGGATATCACAGGGCTTTGCAGGGAAAGGGGCCTGAGAAGCGCTAGGAAGACCCTAGAGCAGGGGTCCTCAAACTACGGCCCGCGGGCCACATGCAAATACAAATATTGTATTTGTTCCTGTTTCGTTTTTTTACTTCAAAATAAGATATGTGCAGTGTGCATAGGAATTTGTTCATAGTTTTTTTTTAAACTATAGTCCGGCCCTCCAACGGTCTGAGGGACAGTGAATTGGCCCCCTGTTTAAAAAGTTTGAGGATCCCTGCCCTAGAGCATATTACTGTCTCTTTCACTGTACTCCCACCACGTTTGACCAAAGAAGGGGAGAAGAGCGAACCTTTTGAGCTCGGCGTGTCAGCATTTTGAAAAACCCTAACTTAACTCTGGTGCCGTGTCACATATAGAAATTTTTTGATATTTGCAACCATAGTAAAACAAAGATTTATATTTTTGATATTTATTTTATATATTTAAATGCCACTTAACAAAGGAAAATCAACCAAAAAAGAGTTTGCGTGTCACCTCTGACACGCGTGTCATAGGTTCGCCATCACTGCCCTAGAGACCCAGGCTGGGCCTGGTCAGGGTGCTGGGGGACAGAGGTGAGGCTGGAGATCTATGTGGAGCTGGGGACCTTGCTGCTCTCCCTCCACCCTCTGTCCCCCTCCCCATCTAGCCTGGCTTTGGCCCTTCAAAGAGACTCTGCGGAAATGTGCCTGGAGCTGGGTAACAGCCGTGCAGCTTATGGAGCGGAACCCTGAGTTCATCTTTGCCTGCTCCCAGGTCAGAGGGACAGTCATGTGGAGACACCAGAAACCCAATAGGTCTAAAAGTGAGGTTCTGAGGGCCTCCCCAGACTCAGCTGCCCACTGCTCCCCAGATACTTGGTCCTGGGTAGGGTTCTTGTTACTCCAGGCACAACTCCTGCCCCTTCTGCCTCACAGGCGCAGCAGCTTGAGTAGGTAAAGAACCACTACCCTGGCCTGTATGCCTGGCTCCAGGAGTTTGCCTGCCATGGGCAGTTTGTGCCCTTGGGAGGCACCTGGGTGGAGATGGTAAGGGCGGTCTGCATACCCTCAGCCTAGGGCTTTCTGCAGGCCCTTCACAACCTCTCTGTTGCAGCACTATTAGTCCTTGGACTTCAGAGCCCTGGGACTCCAAGGGGGAGAAGGGTCCCAAGCACTGTGACGGGCCGTCGGCATAACCCAGCCCAGAAGCTCCCTTCAGCAGATAAATAGCTGCAGGAGATAGACACTTCCTGGGTCAGAGCCATGGCTTCTCCTAAGGGGTGGGGTCGACCGAGTACCTGCCTGCCGGGAGCCGGTCCATCCTTGCTGTTTCAAGGGACCTGGCATATATGGCATACTGTTCTTAATATGTCTGCTTACCTTCTTGGCGCTATGTGTTTTAACCAAGGTCACCTCTCCGAGAAAGGTTGTTTCCCCAGGTGGGGATCTTTCCCTGAGGTTAGGGAGGGGATACAACCCCTTAATTAAGTGCCAGGCGGGTAGTTAAGCTACATAATCTTTACTCCCCGGAATGGAGATAAGAAACGCCCTAACCTTTGTAATAAAAATTGACAGGATTAAAATCGGCTGGTATAAATACAGATGTAACAAGACAATAAACATCACATCCTCATCAGATCCTCATCAGCTCCTCATCAGCTCCTCATCAGCTCCTCATCAGCTCCTAACCAGAACCTAGCCAGAGAGCATGGGACAGAACCTAGACTCAGAACCTAAACAGCCCAATCTGAGAGGTGGCCACTGATTTGCATGCGCTATCATTTAAAAAATAAAAAAGGGGGAATTTGCCGGGAGCCGGTCCATCCTTGCTGCTTGACACAGTCGCTGCAGGAAAGAAACAGCTGCACAGCATATGTTTCAAGGGACCTGGCATATATAGCATATTGTTCTTAATATGTTTGCTCTCTTTAGCACCATGTGTTTTAACCAAGGTCACCTCTCCGAGAAAGGTTGTTTCCCCAGGTGGGGATCTTTCCCTGAGGTTAGGGAGGGGATACAACCCCTTAATTAAGTGCCAGGCGGGTAGTTAAGCTACATAATCTTTACTCCCTGGAATGGAGATAAGAAACGCCTTAACCTTTGTAATAGAAATTGACAGGATTAAAATCGGCTGGTATAAATATGGATGTAACAAGACAATAAACATCAGATCCTGATCAGTTCCTAACCAGAACTCCGACTAGAACTTTGGCTGGAGATCCTGGCTAGAGGTCCTGACTAGGCTGCTGATCAACTGAAGGCTGTCTTCGTGTCATTCCTTCTTCGCCGACTCCGTCCACACCTTTGGGGACCCCTGGACCCGCTGGGATTGGACCCCAGCACCTGCCTATTCCCCATCTGGTGCTGACCCTGGCTGACTCCCTCTTCTCTCACTGCCAGGATGGGAACCTTCCCAGTGGAGAGGCGTTGGTGAGGCAGTTCCTGCAGGGCCAGAACTTCTTCCTGCAGGAGTTTGGGAAGATGTGCTTGGAGGTAGGCTGAGAGCTGCTATGGCTTCAGGCAGATGGGGCTTAACCTGGTGAGATGAGGGGCTGAGGCTTGGGCTGATCTGCTAAGAGCCTTGGTTCCTGTGCCTCAGAGGCCCTTTTCCTGCAGTTCTGGCTGCCAAACACATTTGGCTACTCAGCACAGCTTCCCCAGATCATGCGCAGATGTGGCATCAGATACTTCCTGGGCCAAAAACTGAGCTGGAACTTGGTGAACTCCTTTCCAGTGAGCAGACCCCAGTGGGTCATGTTAGAGTGGGCCTGGGTCCCACCTGACACATTCATCTCTCCCTTGGCTTATTCAGGGGTCCTGGACAAATCACCCAACCCCCACCCAGATAGAGAGTGTGCCTGCTCCAGGGTCACACCAGGGTCAGGGCAGGACTGGAAAGCCCAACTCTGCCTCAGCCCTGACACTAGCCTCTCTCATGTGTCTCTGCCTGCCTGCAGCACCATACCTTTTTCTGGGAAGGGCTGGATGGCTCCCGTGTGCTGGCCCACTTCCCACCTCGTATGGAATAGAGGGCAGTGTGGAGGAGGTGAGAGGGTACCTAGAGACCAAGGTGGGGGCAGGGAGGTAGGCTGGAGAGGGCTGGGTGTCCTGTCCTAGACTGAACCATGCTGATCTGCCCCTGTTTCTCCAGGTACTAAAGACAGTGGCCAAAAACCGGGACAAAGGACGGACCAACCATAGTGCCTTCCTCTTTGGCTTTGGGGATGGAGGTAGTGGCCCCCTCAGATCATGGTAGACTGCTTGAAGCGGCCGTACAATCCAGATGGCTGCCCAGGTCAAGCCTGGCCCACTAATAGCCCTCACTGAGCTGCTAGCTTAGCCCTTGCTTTGAGCCCTTCTTTCTGCTCAACCATTTGGCCCAATCCCTCCACTGGGCCTGTCCTGCTCCAATCCTGGTGCATGGGCTCCTCCCAATTTCTACCTTGGGGGTGAGGTGGGAGAAAAGCTGAGGGTGGAAAGGGGCTTAAACTCATCAGAGAGAGAACTCTCCTGGGGTTTCCAGAGCTGGCTTTGTAAACCGGGAGCATTCTGGGGGTGCTTCTTTCTTCGGGGGCTGGATCTCTTGTCTGCTCTGGTGTGGATCAAGGGTGAGCCATGTGGCCCCCCAAGGCTGGGAGACCCAGGCTCACATTCTCCCTCAGGGTGCAATTGTCTTTTCTCCGGGGTAGCTATGGGTCGGAGAGCTCTTCTTGGAGCTGCATAATGGCACCTACACTACACACCCCGCCCAGGTCAGGAGCTAGTCACTCAGCCGAGCAGGGAGAGTGTGCCCTTGGTCTGTAGAGGGTCAGTAAAGGAAACAGGACAGACCCCCACCCCCAGATCTGGGAGAGGAGGCTTGTTCTTTGAGGAGGAGCTGAGAGAAGAGCAAGAGCTGTGTGGGTCAGGAGCCTAGAGGAGGCTTGCGCTGAGGGAGGGAGGTATTTGGGACATGTCACCCACAAGAGGCTTTATCCAGGGGGCCCTGGGGAGCCATCAGGGGTTCTGAACCAGGGAGGGCTTTGGAAGGTATTCTGGGATACTTAAGCAGACTTTAGACCTGTGGTTCTCAACCTTCCTAATGCCGCGACCCTTTAATACAGTTCCTCATGTTGTGGTGACCCCCAACCACAAAATTATTTTCGTTGCTACTTCATAACTGTAAATTTGTTACTGTTATGAATTGTAATGTAAATATCTGATATGCAGGATATATTTAGGCGACCCCTGTGAAAGGGTCATTCGACTCCCAAAGGGGTCGCACCCCACAGGTTGAGAACCGCTGCTTTAGACTCACCCTCCTCGTTGGCTGGGGCTCAGATCAAGAAAGGGAATCGGAAGTGTGAGCGCATCCTGCGTGACGTGGAGCTGCTCAGCAGTCTGGCCCTAGTCTGTAGTGCCCAATTTCTACACCCACAGCCCAGCTGCAGGACCTCTGGAGGTCAGCCTGGTTTTGCCCCCTGTCACCCACCTGACTTCACCCGAGAAACCTCTGTGGCTGACCCTCCCAGCCTTCATTCTTCCCAGCATCCTGGCCTTCCCCATCCCTGCCCTCGGCCCCTGCATACTCCTGCTCCTGAACGAGTTCCATGATGTGGTGACTGGAAGCTGCATTCAGCTGGTGGCAGAAGAAACCCTGTGCCACTACAAAGGTTAGGCTGAGAACATTCCCGCTGCTCTCTCCTATGGGACACTTGGGTCATCCTAGACCCATTGCCCACTCATGACCAACCAGTTTCTCCTTAGACATTCATTTCCATGGCAACACACTGCTCAGTGCTGCGGCTGCAGCCCTGTGAGCTGGGGAGCCAGGTGCCCAGGACCTCCTCATTGTAAATACCCTGCCTTGGAAGCCCACTGGAGTGCTGGCCCTGCCCAGGCCTGGCAGGACCCACAGCCTGGACAGGAGCTGGGGAGAGGGGTTGCTACTACAGCAGGAGTCCAGACCGAGAGTTGGGGACACTCTCTTGGGGATCTCTGCCCTGAGGTGCCCCAGGCTGGAGAATAGCAGTAGCAGTATCCCCCATCCCAGAGTGAGGCTCCTGAAAATTCAGGGAGGCTGCACTGATATCCAGGCCTCATCCCTAGTCCTGGTGACAGTGCCCAGCATGGGTTATACTGCTCCTGCCCCTACCTCACTGCAGCCCCTGTAGCCTGTTTGTTGTGCAAGAGGTGAGTGGGGCAGGGCTGGGAAGGGGCTTAACAACATGGGGGTTCTGAGCTCCCCAGGCTGGAGTAAGTGGTGAGGCGGCTGGAGTGGGGGGCTATTGGTTGTGGGAAGCCCCTGCCAACTGTTTCAAGGCTCCCTTCTGCCAAGACTGATGGTTCTGTGACTCTGGACAACGGTGAGGCTGGACCCGATCGGCCGCCTGACATCCCTGGTGCTGGTAGTCTCCGGCAGGTGTCAGCCCCTCACTGCCCTCTCCCTGTCTGGAAGATGGTCCCAGACCCTGTTCCCTTGGCCAGCACTGCCCTCAACAGCCCACCTGTGGCTCTGGGCTGGGATCCATCTCATGGAGCAGGGCAGGCTGGGCTGGGGAGAGCCCTGTCCCCTAACCATACTCACCCTACCTCCCACCCCACCTTGAACATCTAGAGAAACCAAGATCACGTTGTAAAGCTGCAGTCCCCATCTCCTTCCAGGGAGGCTGTTGACAAAGGCACTGTGGGAAACCAGTTTGTGCTGTTTGATGATGTCCCCCTGTACTGGGATGCGTGGGACGTCATGCAGTACCACCCGGAGCACGATGGGGGTGGGCATACAGGCCTATTGGCCTCTCCATCAGCTGGCCCTAGCTCAGCACCTCCCGCGCATCCCCCCGGAAGCCAGTGCTGTGCCAGGCAGGGACCCTAGCAGTGGGTGCTGAGGGCGCGTGCGGGCCAGCACCTGGTTCCTACTGCAGATCAGCCCCCACAGTCAGCTCAGCCAGGAGGTTGTACTGGACGTCGGTTGCCCTATGTCCACTTCCACACCGAAATAGTAGGGGATAGGGTGGTGGCTGCCTTTCCTAGGTGTGGCTAGTCGGGAAGGGCTAGCCCCAGGCCTGTGTGTGTGTCTCCCTCTCCTCACCCTTTACCCCCACTCCAGGTGCACTGGCATGAAACCCACAAATTTCTGAAGGTGGAGTTCCCTGCCTGTGTGCAGAACCCCCAGGCCACCTATGAGGTTTAGTTTGGGCATCTGCAGCGTCCCACCCACCATACCACCTCTTGGGACTGGGCTTGGTTTGGGGTCTGACATGGGTCGGGTGAGGAGGTTTGGATTCTCCCTGGCTGGGGAGACTCTTTGTGTAGAATGGGTTGAGGAGGAGCAATATTTGTTGGTTCCTAACATGTGTGCCAGGCATTGTGCTAAATTCTTTATGTTTAGTTTGATACCCATGCCTGTTTGGTGGGCTGAATACTATTCTCCCCATTTCACAGATGAGGAACTGAGGCATAGACAGTTTGGGTAGTGTCCAGGGCCTCTTATTGTGAGAACTGGAATTCAATCCCGGGGTCCCAGAGCTTGCCACTTTAGTGATGGGAGTAAAAGATGGGTCTGGGATGTGCTGAAGGTGTGGGCCCACAGCTGGATGGACCTGTTGGAGCACAGCTTTGGGCTGGCCTACTCAATGACTGCAAGTACAGAGCATCAGTTCGGGGCAGCATCCTCAGCCTCTCGCTGTGAGTGGTGTGCCCACCAGGCTCTGAGCCGGCATGGAGGTGTGGGTCTTCCCCTAGCCAGAACTCCAGCCCGGCCCATTCCCTCCTTCCCCGCAGCTTGCGGGCACCTAAGGCCCCTGATGCCACAGCTGACATGGGGCGCCACGAGTTCACATATGCGCTGATGCCGCACAAGGGTGAGTGCTGCCTTGCCCCTTCTCTGCTCTTCGCCAAACCTCGGTTTTTTCTACAGTCAGTGGGGGAAACAGCAGCTCTGTGCCCGCCCCTACCCCCTTTTGCACCACTGGTTCCTTTCCGGCCCTTGCCCAGGCTCCTTCCAAGATGCTGGCGTTACCCAAGCAGCCTACAGCCTCAATTTCCTGTTGTTGACGCTGCCGGCCAGGCAGGCTGGGGTGCCCACAGCCGCCTGGAGTGCCTTCACTGTGTCTTCCTCCAGGTGGTGCTGGAGACCGTCCAGCAGGCAAGGGGTGGGGTAGGGTGGGGCGGGGTCCTGGTTGGGTCCACCTTTGGCCCTGCCCACCACCCACTTCCCTCAGCAGGCTGAGGCCAGCCCCCAAGGGCCACACACTGGTGCTCAGGCTGTATGAGGCCCATGGCAGCCACGTGGACTGCTGGCTGCAAATGTTGCTGCCAGTTCAGGAGGCCCTCCTGTGAGTGGGGTGCGGGGAAGAGAGGAGCCCTGCCCTCACAGTCTTCATGGCCCCTCATGTTCTGCAGCTGCGACCTCTTGGAGCTGGCCACCTGCCCCTTAGGGACACTGGCCTGAAACTCACCTTTTCTCCCTTCCAAGTACAGTCTCTATGGCTCAAGCTGCAACCTCCACTGAACTGAGTCTCTTGAGGGCGGGATTTTTTGTGGAAGGCTTTGGGGACTGACTGCCTTTCTAGCCCTAAGCAACAATAAATCTTTGGCTCAGGAGCCCTGCTGGTAACTCCTGCTCTCTCCCCTTAAGGCAAGTCCTCAAGGCTGTGAGAAGAGAAGTCTTTCCTGGGCATTTGGGGGCAGGGGCAAAATCGAAGGTGATCTGTGTGTGCAGCAGGGTCTGGGTTGCAGCCCCCACAAGTGGGGATATGGATGACCACAAGATAAGAGCATGAGATAAGAAGTCCCTCCCGTGTGTCAGCAGGCAGAGGGCCCGGGTCTGGGTGGGTTGCAGCTGGCCCCCACTAGGAGGGGAGTACTCACTAGTCTGGCCAGGCTGGGGAGCAACCCCAGGCCCTGAGGAATCCTGGACTGGAGGAGCTATGGAGCCTGGGCTTCCTGAGAGGGGTCTCTGCACCACCTCTGAGGGGCTGTCTCTGAAGAGGCAGACTATCCTCTGAGAGCCAGGGCCTTGAGGACTGTGACGGAGCCCAGTTTGCCTTGCTGAGGAGTTGGCCTCTTATACTCAGGGCCAGGCAACAGGCCTAACTAACTTGGCCAGCCCAAGAAGTTTACCAATTTATATTTTTAAAAATACAGCATTTTTCACATGGGCTTAAAAAATGGGGATGGTGGGTACAATTAAAAACATAGTTATGTGGGGAACAGCCACAAGGTCACAGGCATCTAGCCCCTTGAACCTGTTGCATGCTTCTAGAAAGCCACACAAGGCCCCAGATCCAGGGCAAGGCAGCGGGAAGGGATAGGTGCAAGCAAGGAGATCCTCCTGCTAAGAGGCTGAGGTCTCCTCAGGCTCCAAAGATGGGATGGCAGTCTTTATCTTTTAAGGTCTGCAGCAGCCTGTGGGGAGGACAGGTGAGGTGGCAACTCAGACCCCAGGTTGAAGATTGCCGGGACAGCCTTCCTTTCCACAAGTAACCTCTGCCCGTACTGCCACCCTTTCCTTCTGGAAAGCCTCGTTTGGTGGTGCCCCTTCCATCTCCAGAGGAAAATGCTCAGGAAGGCCCACCTGAGTTGGCCCTTCGCCCTCTCCTCTTCCCTTTCTCAGTGACTGGGGGGACTTTTGGGTCTTGGAGGCTGGTCCCCTCAGGCTGCTGGGCTGTTGTTTGCTCAGGAAGGCCTCTCCATGCCCTTCGTGTCCTGGAAGGGGCCTTGCTTGGGGGTGGATGATCCTGGATAGAGGAGAGACAGGTTCCTGAGATACTCAGCAGTTCAGAGGTTGGTTAGGACCCACCATCGCCCCCCATTGTTAACAGAAGGCAGTTGTCCAAAAGTCTAGTTTGGGAGGTCTGGCCAGGGCAGGGGACATTTCAGGGAGGAGTTAGAAGCAGGGAGCCATACCTCCACTCCATCCTCAGGACCCCGCTGTGCTCCGCTGGATTTCTTCTTATGGGACTTGCCCCCTGAAGGACACTGATGCTGGGGTTGCAAGGTCCTATGGCCTTGGGCCCTTTCTCCAGACTCCCACTTTGGGGTGACTCTTGGAGTGGGCACCAGAGACTGCTGCAACCCTTGCGGGCAACATATCCTTTTTGCTTTCTTAGCTTACTGTATTAGGAGTACCTTACCTTTGGGTGCCAGAGGTCCAGGATCCCCCTAAAATGGAACAGGGAATATTCAGGAATCAGCCTGGTTGGGACAGGCGTCATTTTCCCTTGGAGAAGCAGGACTCACACCTATCTTTCCAGGTTACTGTAATCCTCCCCTAGGAAGCCTCTCACTGCCCACTCCCTGCCAGGTCAGAGCCAACATCAAGGCCACCCTGCCTTGTGCTGCTCTACTAGCTGGGACCCTGGGATTCAGAGGAGGGGAGGGGCATAACTTAGGGAAGGCCTAGACCCTCAGGGACAGTGTGAACTTGGAGGTCTAGATAGAGACCCCATCGCCTGCCTGGCTGTGACCCCAGGGGATCTCTGTTTGCCTGTGTGAGCATTAGGACCCAAACCTGGAACCAGATGGTACGGCCGTGCCGGTCCCGCAGGGAGCGCATGCCCACCACGCCATAGCACCGCAGCCAGGCTCGAAAGGGTGCAAAATCCTCCTCCCCTCTCGCTTGCCCATAGCCCTTGCCGCCTGTGGACAGAGGAGCCAGACAGAGGTTAGAGGGCTAGAGGGCAGACTGAGGCTGGGAGGAGGGGGAGCCTGATGGACTAAGTCAGGGGCCAAGGCTCTCCCTTCTCCAGCTGTGTGACCTCTTCTCCACTCTGGGCCATGGCTTGCTCATCCTGGAGTGGAGTTAATAATCCTTGCCTTGCCTGCCTCATGAGTAGCTTGGAGGACAGACACCTGACAAGTGAGGAGGCCTAGTCCATTTAGCAACAACTAGGTCTACAAACTTCCATTCCCCAGGCAGGGAACCAGGCCCTGAGAAGGGCAGCAACTGTCCCAGGGTTACACAATATGCCAACACAGGTAGTTGGCCATCTTTGGCTCCCGGGCCTCACCCAGCTGGACCACTTCCTTGGGCACTGAGTGGCACAGGTCCAGAAGATCTGGGTTCTGCAGCTTGGCCTTGATCTTCTGGCTCAGGGTCAACTTGGGGCTCTGGAAAAGGGGCAGAGCCACTCAGAAGGCAGCTGATCCGTCGGGAGCAGACCTCCTCTGAGCTTGGCAGGACTCAGAGATGGTTCATTCCCCTCCTCCCCAATACACACACACACACACACACACACACGCACACATTGTAGAGAAGGAAAAACATTGTAGAGAAGGAAAAACTAACAGCTGCTTGGGTTACACGAGACACCAGACCCAGCCTTCCTCCCCTGCACCCTCACCAGCCTGTGAACAGTGCGGGCCTTCTCAAAGGGGGGTATCCTCAGCCTACAGTGGGGTAGAAAGAGGGAAACATGCTAAGCAGTGGGAATGTGCTAAGCAGTGGGAATGTGGGCACCCAGCTAACCCAGCCCTTGTGTCCATGGCCTGCATGCTAACCTGTATAGGATCTCTGCCCGCAGATAGTTGCCAATGCCATTGAAGAACCTCTGGTCCAAGAGGGCCTCACAGATGGGCCGGTCAAAGACCTTGTCTGCTAGGTTTCGTAACACATTCTCCCTGGAGGGACACAGTCTGGGCACATGAGACCCATTCTGCCCTCCCATCCCCCCTCCTTGCCATGGATGAGGGATAGGAACTGGGAGAACCTGCTCCTCGGTATAAGGGGAAGGAAATTGGGAGTCTCAGTTTCCCTTTTCCAAGCCTCAGTGCTATTTTGGCAGGGATAACCTCAGTTTCCCTATCTGTTAAATGAGAACAATATGGAATTTTAATTCATTACAAAGGTGAAAAATTCCAATCAAAAGCAACGAGTTCAAGGGAACACACATGAGTCTTATCTGTTGTGTGAATACCACCAGAGTATACCAGACTCCAGGCATTTTTGAAAGCAAGGTGATCACAGGACTTCAGGTGTGCCTACAATCTACAGCTCCCTATCTAGGACTTCTGGATGTTTAGATATGAAGAGTTAACATTGAAGGGTCAATTCTTCTCAAGACCTGAAGATTTTATGTGGCTAGTACTAGCTCACCCAGCAAGTGCGTGGGAGTAAGGGCTCCAGCAACCCTTGCCCCACCTCTAAGGGTCATGGATCTCTCCTTAACACTGTGAAGAAGAAATGTATCTTGTTTCTTTGTGGAAAAGGGTCATGGCAAGACTGACTCAGTGATGGGCCTGAGAAGCATCTGAAACAGGGCTAGAAGACAGTTCTGGGGTAAAGGAAAGAGCAGAAGGTTAGCCTGGTGACTAGCTCTCTGAAGGCTCCCCAGCTTATAGGACCAAGAAAATAACTGAGATGCTCATTCTGTGAGAGAAACCTCAGAGCCAGCTGGCAAAGAGTTAACCTGAGAGCCAGCCATGCAAAGCTCTAGAGCAGTGGTTCCCAACGTGGGGCACACAACCCATAGGGGGGCAACTTGATTTTTAAGGGGGGCAACTCGAGAATGAATTAACAGTGAATCTTTGGTACTAATTATGGTTCTAGGGGCCTCATATACAGTATATAAATATATATTGACATATTTGTGCATTTCAGTTCTCTATGTTTTGAAACTTTATTTGCAATTTTTTCCATATCACTTCATATTATTATTTTTAAAACAATTTCTTAGTGTTTTCTTCCCCAGGAGAAGAGAGTGGAGGAATCCAAGGCCACAGATGTTTCCCTGTGGGTGCACTTGGGGTCCTGCCTAGGAAGGCCAGGAGTCAACTGCCTCCTGTGGCACCAGACATGCCCTGACCCACAGTGGGCAGCTAAGTCTCCTAAGGGTCAAGTGAAGGTGGGCAGTCCCCAAGGAAGGGAGGATCTACCAAATGTGCTCCAGGCCTTTGCATCTGTGGTGCTGGTCAGTTTGAATGCTCTTCCTCTAGAGCAGTGGTTCCCAACCTTTTTTTTTAGCCATGCCCCACCTGAGCATCTCTAAAATCCTGGTGCCTCTCCCCTCTCCCCTGTGACATAATTCTTATTATTCACGTGGAGGAAGCCTAAAAGGCCACTAACTTGGTCTAAACAAGCTTCCAAAGAACATGGCATCCATGAAAGAGAAAAATAAAAGAATGAAAGGACAGTTGAAGTACTGAGGAAGAAATCACTAAGAAATTGTTTTAAAAATAATAATATGAAGTGATATGGAAAAAATTGCAAATAAAGTTTCAAAACATAGAGAACTGAAATGCACAAATATGTCAATATATATTTATATACTGTATATGAGGCCCCTAGAACCATAATTAGTACCAAAGATTCACTGTTAATTCATTCTCGAGTTGCCCCCCTTAAAAATCAAGTTGCCCCCCTATGGGTTGTGTGCCCCACGTTGGGAACCACTGCTCTAGAGCTTTGCATGGCTGGCTCTCAAGCAGGTCTCAGCTCAAATGCCACTTCCTAGAATGTGATCTTTCCTAATGTGCCTCCCCTCCCTCCCTTCCTGACCAAAAGTCATTCTCTCCCTCTCGGATTTGGATTTTTTAGAAATGTGTCTATATGAATTAATCTAGTTTGTTTCCTTGTCCTCCCTGCCCTGCCTGAACTTCAGCCCTTGATCTCTGCTGTACCCCAACACCTATAGCGGGGCCTGGCACAAAACAGAGACTCATACACATTTGCCTCTTTAGAGGAAGAAAAGTGGCTGACACTGCCATCGTAAGTGACCTGCATCACATCCCAGGTAGAAGACAGACAGTGAGGAGACGATGGGACACAGACCAGTGGGCAGACAATGTGGGAGACCACAAAACCTGATTCAGAAACCATGTCGTTAGGCAGTTCCCTCCCCACTACCTTGAAAACCTTCCTTCCGGCTCAGCCTCCCTTCTTTTATGTTGTTAAAACCCTCTACCTTTCTAAGGGCCTCCTGAGGGCACCAAGAAGCAGTGTGGGGCACTGATCCAGCCTCAGCTCTCACAGTAACTGTCTATGTCTTCAGGGCATGCCTACCTATTCACCTCACCCCTACCTCCTCCCATATCAGTTTTGGGTTTTCACATCCATTAGCTCAGGGAGCTGTCTCCAGGGAAATACACTGTCTTGGTCTACAGAGGAAGGAAGGGAGGCTCAGAAGGGTCTGGGACTTGCCCCTCACCTACCTGAACTGTTCATACTCCAGCAAGACACATGGCCCACGGCCTGGTTGCCACTCGCCCGTGAGCTCCCAGTGGCCAAAGCAGCGGATGTCCACGAAGCAGAGGGTGAGTTGGGGACCAGGAGGAGCCGTGTAAAAGCGCAGATGGGCATGGGGTGGTAGTGCATTGCTGGGTGCCAGCTGGAAGGATCCAGACATGCCGAAGTGGAAGATGAGGGCCAGTGGCTCCTGTGGGGGCTGGGCCCCAGGCAGGGGGCTCAGTGTCAATCGAAGCTCCTTGCCACGGGCTGAGGCTGAGATGTAGTAGGCACTGCTCTCAAAGGGCACCTCAGGGTTGCGGCTGATGGGTGACTTCTCCACACACCCGCCAAACACCAGCCCCCTGCATGCCTCGTTCACAAACTGGCTGGCCAGATGCAGCTCAGGGCCCTCAGGCATTTTGTGGGGGGAGGATGGCTGCAAGTTAGAACAGGTGTGCACCTTGTGAGGTAGGATTCATCACCCCCATTTTACAAAGGAGGGCCCTGCCAATCAGGGGATCATGGACAGCTGGATTTGGCAGAAAATTCTGCTGGCCTGGCCACAGCCCTTGGCCCCCAACTGAAAATGCTGGGAAAGCCCATGGCACTGGTAAGTTCAGGCTGGGAGAGCGTGAGTGCCTTTATTAACCTCCCATGAACCCTCGCTGCTTTTAGAGTAAAGTCCAGATCCTTCCTGGGCCCATGTTGTCATCTCATTTCTTCCCAGGCCCCCCCTCACTCACTTGCTCCAAGCGCACTGCTCTCTCACCCCCAGCCTTTGCCCTGCTGTCCCTTCAGAGCACTTGAGCCACCCTCCCTGGTCACCCTTCCGAAGTAGCCTCTCCACCCCACCCGCCACCAGACACGTTTTCTTTTCTTCATGGCTCTCCCAAATCTGAAATTGGCTGTTGTCTGCCTCTACCTCTCCAGTGAAAGCTCAGCTTGTTCACCGCACCGCTCAGAACCGACCTCATCTGTTGTCATAATCCCTGAGGGAATGAGCATGACCGCACCTGGGAGTTGGGAGCTGGGAAAACTAACGTTCAGAGCGGCTCAGCTGGCAGTGAGGACGAGTCAGAACAGGAGGAGGGGATGCAGATGTCTCTAGGTACGGCTGCGCCTGGACGGTCTCCCAGAGCTCCAGGCTAAAGGTCCAGGATCGAACAGGACACGCCCTGCTGGCGCTTAGGCCCAAGGGGAACCTGCTCCACCTCCTCTCCCTACCCCTGGCCACCTGGCTGAGGAGGGGAGCTTGCCGCTTACCTCCCTACCCGCCCCCCCTCCCCCCCGCAACCCCCCCCCCCCACAGGCGCTGAGGGATCGAAGGCGCAGATGTGGTCGGGCAGAGGGGCCCTTTAGCCAGGGCAGACCCCTTTCCCCTCCCACACCTTCAAGCATTCTGGGACCCGGCACCCAAGAGGGTTCGCGCTGCTGGAAAAGGTGAAGGCCCAGATTCCTAGTTCCGCTGAGGGCGGGCACTCTGGATCGCTCCCCCAATCCTCGCCACTCACTCCCGCTGCCTGTCCTCGGTACACCCTGGCTCCCTTCCTCCCCAAAGCCGCCAAATCCCATCCTCTCTTCAGTCTGCGGTAGGCACCCCGGAAGCCGTCTCCCGCCGGGTTACCTGCTCCCCGCGCCCCTCTCCGCCAACCTGCGGCCACTAGGGGGTTGCAGTCGAGGGGCGGAGCCGTGCTGAAGAGCACATCCCAAACCGGTTGCTGCTCCAGCGCCCGCTGGGAAATGTAGTTCCTGGAGCAGGGGCCCAGGCCTCCGGGTTGGGGTCCCCGATCTGCGGGTCCGGGGTGTAGGAAAGGCTTTGGGGCAATCACCTGGCTGGGAAGGTGGCGCCTGCGGGATCGGGGTGAGGTCCGAGGTCCCGCGTCGCAGCTGTCTGTGACTGGAGAAGTCACCAGGCTAGTGACAGGTCAGCACTCCCAGCCTGAAACAGCATCCCTGTCCCTAAGCAGAGGCTCCTGCCAGATGTGCGCAGGGAGCACGCAGGTGCGCGATAAACGCAGGCCCTGGGGACCCAGTGGTGGCACTAAGTATCAACGCACAGTCACACATAACTTATAAACAGAATCATTACCGTCTGTGGGTAAGAAATGCAGCCAAGCAACAAAAAACAGGCGAGAAAGCAGAACCCACGACAGGTGGTTCTGTGGGGGTAGGGTCTCTCTGCAGTGACAGGCGGAGACCTCAGAAGTAGCCAGCAAAGAGTGGGGCTGGCACATGCTAGGGGAATCGGAGCCACCAACACGGCTGTGGGCAAGAGCAGCAAGATGCTGCATGCAGCACATTGACTACAGGATGAGGTGCACCCTGCAGAATGGTACTATATTGGCACCTTCACAAGGTTTTTGACAAGCATATGAATTTGATCCAATGTGATTGAGATGAATTCAATAAGTCAAGCAGAAAGAGAAGTGAGTACTCAGTCTGGAGCGGCTTCAAAGGGAAAACTTGGTCTCAATGACAGTAGAGGGACCTCCTCCCAAAGATACTGGCATTGCCCTAGTGCCACTTGCTGGAGCTATTGGGGGCCCAGGGATTGGTAAGGCTGCTGGCAAAGGAATCCTACCTGGTGTTCCCATGCCCCAGGTGTCTGCAGGACATGCCAGGCCAGTCCATGGGGCCATCCCAACTCTGTAAGAGGCACTGTTGCAGCTGCTGCCACTGCCAGTATTGCAGGGGCCCTAACCCAGTACAGACCTGGCCATGGGGGTCCTTCCCCACCCATGGGCTGAGGGACACCCCTCCAGGCATGATGGTCCCACCTCTTGGTATGAGGCTTCTCACTGGTCCCCCTAAAGGTATCCTCCTGGAGGAGGTACTTCAGTGGGCATGTCCCCTCCTGGAATGCAGCCCCCTCCCCTAGGAATGTGAGGACTTCTTTGACCCCTGGCCACAGAGTTATGGAAGTAGCTTCACAGAGGCATGGGCCCAGTTCCCCAGGGCCATGTTACCACAGACCTGTTTGTTTCTTATGCTGTTGGAGTCTCACCAGATTGTTTGGTTTCCCTTACAGGGGCCCCTCCCCAGGGAATGCGCCCATCTTGGCCCTCCTCAGCTCCCTGTTTCTCAAGAGACTGTTCATAGTCCTTTTATTTCCATGTGGCCTGTGAGATAAATTTATAATAAAATCTTAAGATATATATATATAAAAAAAGACAACATGCCAGATGAAAGGAATGGCCAGTGCAAAGGCCTGGAGGAAGGAAAGCAATGGGCTCATTGAAAGAAGGCCTGTGTGGCTGAAGTGTAGCTGGGAGAGTGCAGGGAGGTGAGGACAGACCAAGCAAGGTCAGGTCAGGTCAGGCCTCAGGAAGCCTCTGTAAGGTTCTTCCTAAGTGTGCCTGACCAATAGTCATGATCTGCGCCCTTTATACTAGGACTTTTGCCTCTTCCTTCCTTCATCTATTAATTCATTTATTTTGGGAGAAGTATTTTAAAGTAAATTAGACAAATTATGACATTTCATCCCTAATATTTCAACATGCATCTCTAAAAAGCAATTTCCTACAAAGCCACAATACATTTATCCAGTGATTTTCAACTTTTTTTCATCTCATGGCACACATTAACTACGAAAATTCTGTGTCACACCAAAAAGTGTATTTTTGCCAATATGACAAAAAATAGGTTTAACATTGATTCATTCACACTGGACGGCTATTGTTGTATTGGCTGTTGTCATGTTTTAATTTGACAATCTAAAGGAAAAGAGGTCAGTGCCCTGACTAAATAGCGGGAATTGCATGGCTTTGTTTTGAAATATACTTTTATTGAATTCAGAGAGGAAGGGAGAGGGAAAGAAACATCAATGATGAGAGAGAATTGTTGATCGACTGCCTAATGCATGCCCCCTACTGGGGAGCAAGCCCAAAACCCAGGCATGTGCCCTTGAAGGGAATCGAACCTGGGACCCTTGAGTCTGCAGGCTGACGCTCTATCCACTGAGCCAAACTGGCTAGGGATGGAATTGCATGTTTTAAAAATTCTTGCAGCACACCAGCATGCCTCGGCACACTGAAAATCTCTGCCTTTATCATACCTAATAAAATTAACAACTTCTTAACATCATCTAACACCTAATCCACATTCAAATTTCTCTAATTGTTCCCAAAATGTCTTTTATAGCTATTTGTTCAAGGCAGAGTCCAACCAAGGATTATGTATTTTTTTAAAAAGTTATTCTTAGTATCCGAAATATCCAGTTTCATATCACAGTCACCTTTTACCATATGACTTTAGCATCCTTGATAATCCTGCCTCAATCAAGTACTTAATTAGGAGTCACAAAATGGTTATTTTCTAATTCTGTTATTCTGTCAACATTAGTTGGATTTTTTTTTGTAAAGAACTTTACCTCATTGACTAGGGCTATATGGTTATCCTGAAATGCGAAAAAGACAGGATAAATTTTAAATTCCTTTCATTTAATGATCAATTTTCAGACTAAGAATTTGGTGCAATAACAACATCCAATGGTGACAAATTAGGATTGATTTGTGGGTGTGGTTTTTCTTCCTTTGGAGGGTGCAGGGACTTTTTATGGACTCAGATTTTAATTTTTTACACTCAACATCTTTAAATCCATTGCAGTCAACATCCTTAAATCCATTGCAGTCCATATCCCTCCCTACACCAACCCACCCCCATTACTGAAAGAGTATTTTATTAGGCATTGGGGCTATTCAACTATGGAACACAATTCTCATCCTTAAGAAACTCAGGCTGGGAAAAGAGGCAAATGAGTCAATAAAAAGTTACAATGCATTGTTACTAATTAATATTTACTAATGCAATGAGAGAAGTGTCTGTGGGATTCTGTGATAACATAGAAGTCTACTGTATATTTTTACTCTTTTCAAGATTCCTTCTTTCATCATTTCCCTTCTATTTAGAGATCCTCCTATACCCTTTTTATTTTTAGGTTAGGTCTGCTGGTAACACATTATATTAATTACTAGTGGCCCGGTGCACGAAATTCGTGCACAGGAGGAGGGTGTCCCTCAGCCCAGCCTGCACCCTCTCCAATCTCGGACCCTTTGGGGGATGTCGACTGCTGGTTTAGGCCTGATCCCAGGATGTCCGACTGCCGGGATCGGGCCTAACCCGGCATTTATACATCCCTTTCACAATCCTGGACCGCTGTCTCCTAACCACTCACCTGCGTGCCTGCCTGATTGCCCCCTAACAGCTCCCCTGCCGGCCTGATTGACGCCTAACTACTCCCCTGCCGGCCTAATCATCCCCAACTGCCCTCCCTTGCTGGCCCGATCACCCCCAAGGCTTTTATTAGTATAGATATGACCCTTCACAGAAAATTTCACTAACCCTGCTTTACAATAAGGGATTGACGATTGAATCATTGGGGCCAGGCACCAAGATTTCCTTTCTTTGAATAGTGGAGGGAATAATTATCTTGTCTTTAAATTGCCCTGAACATCAAATGAGATAATGACTTAGAAAAGCATAAAAGCACCATATAAAGACAACTGTCTTATTATATACTGAAAAGACAATAAAGTGGTAAAATGAAAAACACTATTTTTATTCTCCCCCTTCCTTCCTTTACAGCCTTTATTTAAACTTTGAAATTTAGAAAAATTTCACTCCTATTTTCATTTTTTTACATTCAATATTATTTTGTATTAGTTTCAGGTTTATTAGTTACAGAATAGTGGTTAGACAACCATATACTTTACAAAGTGTTCCCTGATACTTCCAGTACCCACCTGGCTTCATACCGTCATTACAACACTGTTGACTCTATTCCCTATTTAAGTGACAATAGGTTTACAGGTTCCTTCCAATCTTTCTTTTGTGTTGCTTGACCTTCCTTTTCTTTCTCAGGTCTTCCCTTATTTTCTTTATATAGTATCTCAATTGGCCCTCAAAGCTCAGTGAAGGCACTGGGACACGCTTAACACATTTTACGGAGCAGGAAACTGAGGCCAATTCCAGTTGGTTATGGAACTGGACTCCTCGCGCAGGGAGCCCTCACAGCCGGCTCTCCACCTTTCCTAAGGGACAGCCAGGGCAAACAGAACAAACCTCCCCATGAGGCTTCCAAGCCTCATTCTCCAGCACCTCTTCATCATGGATGCTCCACATTCTTTCCTTTCCCCCGCCCCCACCCCATTCTTTACTGCCCCCCCTTCTGGGGAGCAGGTGGTAGGCTTGCACTCACTGTGCAGGTGTGCACCCCATGGGGTGGGCGAGAACTGGGGGCGGGGCGGGCGCAGGCTTAGTTTTGGGGCCAAGGCGGGAGCAGGAGTCCTGGCCTCTCAAGTGTACAGGCCGCGGGGAGGCCCGGTCAGCACCGGGAGCTTCACCAAACCGCTGCAGTGGGGTACCCAGCATGGGGCGCTCCTCCACTGAGGTGGTGCCACCCCTCTACCCCCGCCTCAGGGCTGCGAGTCTGTGCCCCTCCGCCTGGGCGTCCTTCCACGCCTGCAGTCATCCCTGCAGTCATCGCCTCTTGTTTCCTGCCTATTGGGGCCACTACAGAACCTCACTCTCTGCAGGCCAGTCAGATCCCCGCCCGCCAGCACCCTGCCCAGGCCTGAGCCCCCTCGAATGCACCCCACCTTGGCGCCGCTCTGCACCCCTTGGGCCGCCCGCCTGCTGGCCAGCTGCTTCCCCCAAGCCATGGCGCT